ATTGATTAAAAATAATGGAATCATATGCTTAAACAAAGATTTTATGAACCAGCTATTTTTGTTGTTGTTGATTGGGAAGGAGATGGGAAATGTTACCTAAAGCTGTTCTGTTTAATCCATGAGGATCCTGAGAGCAGGAAGGGGCTACTCTCTCCTAACGACACTCCCAACAAACATTTGATGATATAACAGCTCTTACGCTAAGGGTGAAAACCACCTGTAATGTTAATATAATAAGGTATCATTTGATGGGAGTGGGGGGACTCCCATAGATCTGCTCTATTTGTGGAATGAACAAATAATTACAGTGACTTTTTTAACCTGCAGGACTTTTAGCCTCAGTGAGAGCTCCCAATAGACATGAGAATTAATTCTGTCACAAAATGTAATACTTTTATGAAAGATCATGAGAGTTATTATAATATTATATTGAAGTTAGGTCCATATTTAAGTCTGTTCCCATTAGGTTATGCCTATAATTAAACACAGATTGAAAACAGTGACCAAAATGATTGCAGGTGGTGATCATTATATAAAGATCTTCTTAATGCTATTGTAGCATTCTTTCCCTGGCCAAACATATTCTAAAAAATATAGTAGGAGTAAAAAGAAGAACTGATTTTATATACAACTAGTCTTTATATCCAAAGATTCCAAGTGATAAAACTTTATCAAAATTGTGTGATGTGGGGGTGTCAAATTCAAGGAAGTCAAGACTTCCTTGCCTTCAAGGCATTAGATACCTGGTTTGAGATAAAAGGTGTACCATACTTTGATATTCGCAGGATGAAATGAGTGTTGTTTGAAACTGTTTTTTTAAGTGCTATGAAAGCCCAAAATGGTCTTTTAAGGGCTTCTCAGACTTACAGTGTGTTTTCACCTATAACAAGGTCCATGATATTGTTAGATCTCTACTGATAAAATCCAAAATTGTTTCCAATTTCCTGTGAGTAAACTTAATAACCCAGTCTATATATAAACTCTACTTTTTGTAAACATTAAAATGCAAAATG